CTTATTTGAATTCGAAAATCAATTAATACCATCTAAAATGGCTACAGTACCAGTAAACACGATTTTTCTCAACAGAGGACAGGAAAGAGGAAAAGAACGGATCGTACTTTTGTAGTTGGTGGTATAATGAGTCAAATGAGATAAAAGATTTGATTTTATCACTTACCCAGGTCGACGGTTACGGACTCCGTATACGGGGTGTGGGTGGGGGGGGTGTGGGTGTAGGTGGGGTGTGGGTGGGTGTGGATAAAAAGAAGTGAACACCCACACCCACATCCCACACTCCACACCTACATCCCACACCCCACACCCACACCCCACATCCACACCCACACCCGCACCCTTCCTAGGTAAACAGGATCGTTTTATTATTATTATTAAGTTTAAATTTTTTTTTACTTTTTACTTTATCTCAATCGCATAGTTGGTAGAGAGGGCATTTCTAGTAGAGAATGACCTGCATTATCGTAGTGTCTGTAGACATTCGACTAAAGAGGAAATTCTTTTGAATCACCTGTCGCACATGAAGTAATTTAGGGTGTGGATGTGAGATATGAGCGTCAATTTTTATCTCTATAACACCCACACCATTCAGTAGAGCTCATCAAACTGCATCGAATGAGCTAAGTTTCATGAGTGGCTCAAGCGATGGAGCAAATCGTCGTGGAAAATGCTTTTTTTGCTTTTCTTCTACAGTAAAAATGCATTTTTTGTTTTAATTTTTTCCAGTAGCTTTTATCAAAAATCTGAGTTCACCATTGAATCGAGCTTGTCGGGCTGCATCTGGCTCACTCTATTCCAGAGTTGGCTCAACAAATAGAACGAATCGTTTTCGAAAAAACTCGAATCAGGTGCTAACTTTCCTTACATTTTTATCAACAGTTTTGGCTGAAAGAAGTTTCAGTCAATTATCGAGAATTAAAAGTTATTGTCGGTCTACAATGAAACAAAATAGGTTAAACGTACTTGTTACTGCATACATTCATAAAGATCTCAATATAAATTCAGATGGAATATTGAAATTATATACACAAATGCATCATCGTCGTCTTGATTTTGGTGTTTGAATTTGAAATATAAATGTTATAAATAGAGACACTAAAAATAGACTAAACACATTTGACTCAGACTTAAGATCTAAGTTTGATGCATCTTTGATTAAAAGAACCCCGTTTCTTTTTTTTTTGTTTTGTTTTACGTTATCAGTAATTTATTGGACCAACAAAAGTTTTGGCCTATCAATAAAAGCCTTGCCCATTGGTCTAAAAGTTCCGGTTACGCCGCTGTTAGACAACAATATTTTTTTTGCCATTTACTTTGTCTCATATTTTCAAAAGTTTATATATAGAAATGTGCAAAAGAATTCAGTTCGTATGTGACAGGATTAGAAAATTGACGATTAGACGAACAATATAATTTTGTAGAGAATACTAGACGATCAAGACTTATTTCAAATTGTATTTTATCATATATAAAACTTTCTCATGAATTACATTGATAAATTTTTTATACAAATTCAATGAATGAACGAATCACTGAAATGTTTCGGATACGTATCATGCTTTATTTATATTATGTATCAATCAACAATTGGACTTCACGACAATGAGAAGATTGAACTGTCCAAAGGCTACATCAATGGCATATATCCTAGAAAAAAATCAGTCACGATAAAATACTTAGTATGTAGAGTTCATCTTTAAAAGATAGGATAGACGAAGACCTATCCTCAAAATTATACACTGTCAAAGAGAAAAATTAGGGAAAAATTTAGTTCAACAATGACTTTCGCTATGTATGAAAAAAGATGTAATGGAACGCTGTTTTTTCTCTTATTATTAAACTGGTGTCGTTTATATTCGTAATTTATCTAATTTTGCTCACGATTGAACTATTTAGAATTGATGTTGCACTTTTCATATAACGATTCAAATCGAGATCGAAAAAGATAAAACTTGTAGTTATATTTGACTTCTAATGGATTTTTATAAAAATAGAATCTATTTTGTGTCCGAAAATATCATAAAATGAATGTTATCACAATGAAGCCTTTACGGTAAAGATTAGAAAGAAAAGAAAATGGAGAAATGTAATGATGACTTACATTTCACTAGGCTTTATTTTTCATTGTCAAGTACTAAGTCATTCGCTTTTAAGATCTATGTAAATAATAGAGATAATGATACAAGTTCGTCACTATCAACTGAAAAGAAAAAAAGATCAATTACAGAGAACTTTAAAGGGAAAAAGCACATACTTGTTTGCCATTGATTCCAATCGATCTACAATGATTGACTTTTTTTCTTAGAAATTCTTTGTTTAGAAATTAATTTTAGCAAGCGATTTTCATTGGTATATACACATTTCAGTAAAGCTAACGTTAATGCATTGAATATATATTATCTTTAGACATACAAAAAAAGATTGTGATTTTGATAATTAAAAATATTTGATTTAATTCACTCAAAATTAGATGAGTTCATCCTGTGATAACTCTGCAGTCATAGGTAAACCGTCAGTTTAGATTCTATTTTCGAGAGAGTCGAATTAATTTCTATCATTAAAATACTGAATCATTCTAAACTGAAGCTGGTAGTTATTGCAGCTTGAAAGACCATATTGTTGTTTAACTAGCATAAAATAAATTCTTTTTTTTAATATTTTGTACTGTGAACTTTTTCTTTTATGCGTCCTTCATTCATCTTAGAAGTGGTATTTATGCAAGATTGTCTTCTAAATCTGTTGACAGCTCGTATTTCTCTATTGCGCACACAGATTAAAAAAAGAACGCAAAAAGACACCTGATAACGATCTTTGTTGTAGTGTGTATGATAAAGTAATTATAGATATGATCAAGTAATCTTTATTCTCTTATTCTTCTGTTTCTTATTTCGTTTTATATGTAATACATTTGAAAAAGTTCGTCATGATTTATTATTCAATTTTCATATGGTCTTTACTTATCATAACAACTGTTTCGAAAGCAAATGTCGATTTTGATATCTATGGTTCAACGGCAAATGGATGGGAGTTTGTTAAAGACTTTTTGAGACAAAATATTCGCGAACAACGAGATATAGGTACATCTGTAGCAATTTATCATCAAGGAAATTTAGTTGTTGATTTATGGGGTGGATGGTTCGATCGAACACAAATGAAACCCTATGATAATAATACATTACAATTAGTATTTTCAACATCGAAAGGTTTAGTAGCTGTAGCTGCGGCACTTTGTGTTCAACGCGGTCTACTTGATTATTCAGCATTAGTAACAAAATATTGGCCAGAATATGGAAACAATGGCAAAGAAAATACAACTGTAGCTGACATTCTTTCACATCGTGCTGGATTACCTTTCGAGAATTCATCACTTGAACAATCTTCCAATTGGGAAGCAATGATACATGCATTAGAGCAGCTAAAACCAGTATGGCCACCTGGAACAACACATGGTTATCATGCATTAACATATGGTTGGTTAGCTGGTGAACTTGTTCGACGTGTTGATCCAATGAAAAGAACTTTAGGAGGATTTATTCGTGATGAAATTGCAAAACCATTAGATATTGAATGGTATATTGGTTTACCATCTGAACAAGAATATCGAGTCTCACCAATAGATTTCAAATCCTATGGAACATTTAATCAAACATTACCTGATTCTTATGAAGCGTTTAATAGTAAGACTACACATCAAGCAGAAATTCCGGCTGCTAATTCAATAACTAATGCTCGATCTGTAGCAAAACTCTATGCATCTTTAATGAGTGATTTAGACAATAACAAATATAAACGATTATTAAATGAAGAAATCTTAAAACGGGCAACTAAATCGAATACACCTGATGGTGAACTTGATTTTGTAATACACTTTCCAACTAAATTTAGTATGGGTTTTATACTTTTGGATGATATTTTTCCATTATTGGGACCTGGAGTATTTGGTCATAATGGTTAATTATATTATTTTTATTTATTTTTTTCAATTAAATTCTTTTTTTCTTTTTAATTTTCAAATTTCAGGAGTTGGAGGAAGTATTGGTTTTGCTATACCATCAAAGAATTTTGCATTTTCCTACGTTATGAATCGAATGGATGCTGAAATAGCCATCGATGTTGATCTTCGTTACAAAGCAATGTTAAACAAAATTTCAACTATAATTAATACTAGTACTACTACTCCTTCTACTACTACTGATAATAATAATAATACAAGTTTTCATAAAAAACTCTCTCCATATTTATTATTTTTATGTTCTATCCTATTTTTCTATCAAGTTTATTTGTAATTAATCAATAAGAAATGCAACTAACAAAGATTTCAATAAGTATTTTGTTTTCTTTTTTTTGATTAAAAATTTATTTCAATTAGATATATGTCCATCATAAATTTCATGTATCTCGATTAAGTTTTTATCTAATTATGAACAAAAAAAATTTGATTTTATATTTCTTTTAAAGTTATACTATTTTGTGTCAATTCTATCTCAAATATAATAATTTTCTTTTTTAATTGAAAATAAAAAATTCGAAAGTGAAAGCGATAGATGAATTGATCTATTTTGACTATTGACAAATTTTAATGCATATGATTAATATAGACAAATAAATTGATAGTTTTTCTTTATCCTGATTTACTATTAACAAATATTTCCTAAAACATCAAAGCGGAACTAATTCGAGATATATCTGATAATAAACAATAAAATAAAGTCAGATTTGTTTAAGATTATTATGTTTTACAATGAAATTCATTTTTAAAGATTTCGTTTGTTCTTTTTTTTTATTTAAAGATAAATAAAATAAAATCATTTTGTATTCGTTTATGTTGAATTGTTCAGTAATTAGAGTTTATAATAGATTAAATAAGAAAATGAATTTGAAATGTTTTTCAAGAAGAAAATCATCTTGAATGATTATGACGATTAATTCATTTGAAGATTTTTGTGTTTTGCTAAAATGAGAAAGAAAGAGCAACACAAACAATTGGAATTCTTATGACCATTTAGTCAACCATTCAAATATTTAATTGTATAAAAATACCCTCTTATTTTATTTTAATATTGCATTATCAAATTCTCTTGAAATTTATTTTTATTGGATATCTCTATTAATTAAACATAGAATTAAATTTCAAAGAGTAAATAAATAACAGTTTATTGTTATTGATCGATCAATATTTCGAAAGAATAAATTCAATAATGACACCAACGGCTGCAACGATGAGTCCGAGAGATTTTGCTAAATTTCAAGCATGTGCAGAGATTGTTCTGTTTTTTTTATGTATATCGGATTGCTGATTGGGTTCGACTTATTTAATCGTTTGTTGTAGTTAAGGATTACTTTGATAAGGTAGATTGATATTGACTTGACCTTGTTGAAATTTTTTTCAAACCATTTCGGTGTTGTTCTACTGCTATTCGTATTGTTAATTTTTGACTTGTGTCCTAATTACTATTAATTGATAATAAGAATTCATTGGAATTCTTCATAATCATATCATATGCTCGATTATAGATTCTTTAATATTGCACAGGTCACATCATCAGATTTAAGAATACCAGTTTTTATTGTTGGTCCATATATGTTTACTATAAACAAGAATTAAAGCTTGTTAGCGCAGCTTCTTGCTGGTTGAAATGTGGAACTCACATATTCCTCATAAGCTATAATATAACATTATTTGCTAAAGTCTATAAAGGAGAGTGTCCGTAATGGAGAGGGAGTCGCGAAAACTTCGACTTAAAGCTTACACTCATTATTTTCTTCGAAAATATATGTGAGTTCCACAAAAGTTTCATTGTTAACCTTTTATTTTAGTTTTAACTAATCCAATGGCGTAAATAGCAACAATTAAAACATCTTTAAGCGTGTTTATCCAATCATTTGTATTATGTTGAAGGTTTTCAGTCAATGACTTTTCTTGAGGAATCAAAGAACGAGTTATCTGTAATTCTTGATCACTATTGAACTTGATTCTTTTCAGTTCTCGTATTGGTTGATAATTATCGAAACTTAATTCACAGCTTAGTAATTGTTGTCCATCAAACACCTAAATGTTTATCATCCACTTCCGGATAATTCATCAAATTCGTTATGTTCAATTTTTTCTGTTGTGTCATAAAATCTATTCAATAAAAATATTGAATTGTTCATTCTGTTACAAATTCAAAATCTGCTTCTAAATATAGCAGTGTTTATGGTTAGTTCACCGATGTCCATGAATATAGCAGCTGAAGAACTACATACTTTTTTGCACTAAAAAAAATATCGAATCACTATGTTCAAAAAATATTTTATAAATAAACTTAGGAAAGTCTACAAGTCAGATCTTCTGACATCGCTATTTTTCAATGGTATATCATTCTAGAGTGAATTTAAAAAAAAGAAAAAGAGACAAACTCGGAAAGTACTTTCAACAGACAAAGAATAAACGAGCTAATAAAGAAACGTAATTCCCTTTTAGGAGTATGGCTAAAATTTGCTGATAAAAAATAAAAGGTAAAATTGAGACTCATGCACTATTGTATCCTTTGTAACTTGTCTTTCGATTAATCCTTCTATTGCTTTAAAAGTATCATCCAATTTCTTAGTCGTTAATAATTAATTCTTTACAGTCAACTTTTGGTCAAAACGAAATCAACACTCTGTTGTCGTATTTTTTCTCGTTTCTTCAATTTCCTTCCTTTTTTTGAATTTTGCTCAATTTGTAAACGCCTCACAGCGTCACAAATGAAGCATATGCATAATAAAAAAAACCAATAACAACGTATATATAAAACACAAAAATTCTAAAAAATTTAACAGAATATTGTAAACAAAATTTTTCATGATCGATGTATTATAAAGATAACTTCTTTTTTCAAACTCTGGATGTGGGTGTGGGTTATTGGCATATCCACACTCACACTCACACGCCGCTAACATCCACATCCACACCCGCTCGCCAGCAAAAACGACGATGTTTTGAGTTACATCAAGCGAATGTGAATACTAAGTTGTGAACAAATTCGTTTCAGCAAATCGTCTATACCGTCCTCAACTGACTACCTCGACATAGAACAAAGTCAAACAATTCAAATACTCCATGTCAAAATATCGCGTAAAGTTCTTCTGGCAAAAAAAAGAGTCTTTTTTAAAAATATAACTTCATGAAAAATAAGCGAATGAAAATGTCTAAAAGCCAAATAACGTGTCACCACCATACCACTTGCAACTTATCATTTTTCTTCAGAACATCCTTATATTCATCTTTTACATTTTGTCCGAATTCATTGTTCCAAAGGTGGAGTGCAATTAGGGTCTGAATGAAAAGCTGAGATAGCAAATAGTCACATAAGTAGTCAAAAGAGTTTTACAGTGTTAACGATGAGAGCATTGACGAGATGTTGCGCCCCTTCATCTCTGATTTTATTCGACCCAAGGTTGAGTGTAGTAAGTGTCTGTGTGAAAGAACAAGGCATTGAAGAGCAAGCTGAGCAGAGAGTTGTACTTTACTGTGTTGTTAATGAGAGCATTGGCGAGATGTCGTGCACCTTCGTCTTCGATTTTATTCCACCCAAGGTTGAGTGTGGTGAGTGTCTGTATGAAAAGATGATGTAATGAAAATCGAGATATGTAAGAAATGGTGTTTTACCTTATTGCTCGTGAGAGCATTAGCCAAATGTCGTGTACCTTTGTCTTCAATTTTATTCCACCCCAGATCGAGTGTGGTGAGGGTCTGTGTGTGAAAAGACGAAGTGATGAAGAGCCAGATAAGTAGAAAATGGAGTTTTACCGTGTTGTTGGTAAAAGTATTGGCAAGATACTGTGCCCCTTGGTCTCCAATTTCATTCCACCCAAGGTTGAGTGTGGTAAGTGTCTGTATGGAAACACGAGGTAATGAAGAGCAATATGAGCACAGAATGGTGTTTTACTGTATTTTCGGTGAGAGTATTGGCAAGATGTCGTGCGCCTTCGTCTCCGATTTTATTCGACAAAAGGCTGAGTGTAGTGAGCACCTGTGTGAAAAATCAAGATCATGAAGAGCAAGATGGTTAGAGAATGGTGTTTTACCGTTTTGTTGGCGAGAGCATTGGCGAGATGTTGTGCACCTTTGTCTTCGATTTTATTCCACCCAAGGTCGAGTGTAGTAAGAGTCTGTACAAAAAGTCGAGATGATGAAGAGCAAGACGAGTACAAAGTGATATTTTACCGTATTGTTGGCGAGAGCATTAGCAAGATGTTGTGCCCCGTGGATCCCGATGTTATTGTCTCGAAGGTTGAGTATGGTGAGCGTCTATATGAAGAACATGGGTAATGAAGAGCAAGATAGTTAGAAAATGGTGTTTTAACCATGTTGTTGATGAGAGCATTAGCAAGATGTTGTGCCCCATGGACATCGATTTTATTGTTTTGAAGATTGAGTGTCATTAATGTCTATGTCAAAAGCTAAGATAGTGAAGAGAGAGTTGAGTAGAAAATAATGTTTTACCGTGTTGTTGGTGAGAGCATTGGTGAGATGCTGTACTCCTTCGTCTCCCATTCCATTACACTCAAATTTGAGTGTGGTGAATGTCTGTATGAAAATTGAAATGGGTTATAGGTTCGAGAGAAACGCAGAATGGTCGTGGTTGCTCCTGTCTTGAAAAAATGTATCATATTGGCAGAAGGGGTCTCATTTGAAGGGATTCGCAAAATAAACTTGAGTGAACTATTCTGACAAAAGTAAACAGAAGTGAACGGATGCAATGCACACGTAGGATGACTGTATTTTACTACTTCTCTTCCCGTCGGTAGTTTTGTGTATCCTCTCTTGTTCTTTTTCTTTGCTGTAGTTTTGGTGCATCGTAACATGTGGCATGATGATAGAGGAGAATATTCAGAAGAAGACAGCAGTCGGACTCAAAGTTAATGTATCGGTAGATTGAGTGTATTGAAACGTAAGAATCTTTCTGTAAGAGTATTTCTGCTGATATAATCAGATAACCTATCCAGCGGCGTAGCCAAGGGAGAGACAAATGGACAATTGTCCATTTCATTTGGAGATTTGCCCCTTGAAATTTTACTTTTTCAGAATTGTTTATTTATTTTTGAATTAGATAGTAATTCTAATTCTTTTCTTCCATCTGAATCACACATGCATTTTTTGCTTGTTCTTTCTGTGAAGAATGAATAAAAGAAGAAGAAGAAAAGAATCGCTTCTGGTATTTTCACCAGGGTTGCTAGATGAAAAACTTAAAAATCAGAAAAAAATCAGCATTTTGTTTCGAAATCGGACACTAATCAGAAAGAGTAACTTTTTGCAAACCAAGGACTATCATGTTGACATACTTGCACAAAAGGGTTCACTATTTTTTGTTTATTGATTCATACTTTGTTTCCAAAAGTATTTCATAGTAAAGAAAGACAACACAACCAGTATATAGCTTAGAGTAAAAGACCGTATACTGTAAGCTAAGGAGATTGATCATAGTCAGATCAAATGAATGCTTCCACTCACAAACCAACTATTTCAAAACATGAGCTCCCAATAGCGTACACAGACCGAGATGTTTAAATTTTAAGATATTTATAGTTTGTCATGTACCCACGCTACGAAATTTCATCAACACTTGGTGTTCTTTTTTTCATCATGGTTGGATGGAGTATGACCATTTACATAAGAAAAAAAATATCACGCCTATTAAAAAGCAAATTCTACGAAGTCTAAGACAAATTTTTTTTAATTATAAGGGTAATAAACAAAAAACTCTAGTTGCTGCCAAATTGCTTTTGAATATGTGTAATATTGTTTCTCCGTATATAAATAGTCGTGTTCCATCCAACCATGACGAAAAAAGAAAACTAAATGTTGATAAAATTTCGTAGTGTGGGCACATGAAAAACTGTAAATATCTTAAAATTTAAACATCTCGATCTGTGTACGCTATTGGCAGCTCATGTTTTAAATTAGTTGGTCTGTGAGTGAGAGCATTCATTCGATTCGACTATCACCAATCTCCTTAATTTGCCATTGCACGGTCTTCAATTCTTAGTTAATACAAAAAAAAACTAGAAAAAGACACCTAGTATCGGATTCTTTTATGAAAAATATGCGCAAACAAATCATATATAGAAACAATGCAGATCAAAAAATCTTACGAAAAATAATAAAGGTTATAGAACATAAATTCCATATTATTTTTCAAGTTTTTCTTTGCTTAAAATTCCTTCAATAAATGTTTTTGAGCTAAAATATGTTTGCAAAATTGTTCAAACAAAAAAATAATTAGCATTCACTCTTCAGTTCAGCAACGCAACAATTTACTGATATATTAAAGCACTTGGCAGTGGTTGTAGAACTCAGAAACTACGAGAGATTAAGAAAGGAAAGAAGGTAGCGAAATACGAATCTATAATATTATTGAGTTATACTCATAATTAATTTCGCTAGTAAAATCACTATCTAAAAACGTTTGGAATTCGACAACAAATCAGAAAAAAAAATCAAAATCAGAAGATTAGAAAAAAATTAGAAAAATGTTCAAATTTCAGAAATTTTCCTGACTTTTCAGAAGATCTGGCAATCCTGGTTTTAACTGTAAGCTTGAGTGAACATGAATTCGGTTTTATTGGGGAAATGCTAACCACGTAAAGGTAGAGAAGAATAAATCAAAGAGAAGAGAGACAAGAGCCCAGATCGAACTGAGCGATATCTTAAAGGCCATAGAAATCTGACTCCATGATGACGACAAAGTTTACCTTATATCGGTGATATGTGTCAATAACTGAATTCAGTCGTCTACACACATTATGAAGTGAAAATAATATTGTTAATTCAGAGACATTGTCCAGAATGCGATATACAAGCTCAGCAGGTAATGTCAAAAGGGATGAAGTACCTTTACTAGACATTAATGTTGTTTGCTTTCAAACTGTATGCGTTGTTAAAATAAATGTCTGTTGAAATTTCTTTTTCTTTATGTCGATTTATTTATTGACAATATGTCATGAACTTCCATCATGGTTGTGCAATTTTTTGCCTACATAGAGAACTGAAACAAGTAGAATGTGACGAATACACCGACAAGGTGAATTCGTAAAAGTAACTATACATAAACCATTTTTTCACTCACATTTCATATGAAATTTTCATGTGCGTGTTGTTGATTGTTTGCAAGAGTTTTCATTGCCCTTAAATATGTTCATGAATTCTATTAAATTTTTTTCCCCTTCATTTCGTTGTGGCGTTTAGGATAAAAACAAAAAGAGAATAAAAATAAGCAAAATTTTTGAAGGAGAGTGTGGGTGAGGGTGTGGGGTGTGGGTATGGGTGTGGAGTGTGGGTGAGGGATGGAAGTGTGGGTGTAGGTGTAGGTGTATGTGTGGATAGATGTGGGCGAGGGTCTGGATGTTGATCTAGATCTTCTGATGTAACCAACACCCACACATCCACACCCACGTTCGCATCAATATCCACATCCCACATTTAGAAAGTTTTTGTTTTAAATATCCATTCACTTTGCTCATTTTCTTTTGATATGTTTGAAAGTCCTTGTCCGATTTAATAGATATTATTAACAAAAATATTCAAAACTTTTCGAATTAATTAGATCAAATAGAATGAAGGATAAATATGAAAATATATTAACAAATGTGACGGATGAATAATCACAAATTATTAGATCATGAATTTTTCTGCGAAAGAAAATCTTTTTATGCCAAAACTATGAACGATTATGAAACAGAGAAAAATACACATGTCTGTGAATTAATGAAAGAAAGAAAAAACCTTTGTCAGTGTGATATGGAACAGGCTTGTTGTCATTTGTTTTATCGTCAATAAGATTTCATCGTTTGATATATGACAACAAATTTCGACACAGAAAGTTCATTGAAGCCACATTGCAATCCAATTCGTCATGTGTTTAACAACGAATAAATCTTCTTGGGATAAATGACTATGATCGATAAGCCATTGACGAAGATTTTTATCAACTTCATCTGTTAATGAACCTCTGATGTAAAGACCACGAAGTTTTTTATCTTTCCACAATGAAAGCACTTGTAGAATAAGTGAATCGACGAAAACTGTTGAATTTTCGAAGACTAGACTCAAGTCACGAAGATGATTAAACTTTTGTGCAATAGTATCTAATTGTATTGAATCAACTTCTCGAAAATTGGTAATTTCAAGATGTACAATTCGTTTCTGCAATAATTCACATGTATATACATCGTTGAGTACAATATTTAAACAATTGAAATCGATTTGCAGATGCTCGAGATTAGGAGCAGCTTGAACAAGATGAAATATTTCATATATTCCCTTTACGTAGAGACGTTTCAATTTAGGTAAATGTAAGACGATCGATTGAGTTGATTGAGATGTAACTATAGATGAGAGAAATTAATAATAATTATTCAATAAACTAATACTGAAAAAACCTTCAGAGAGCTTATTTTTTTTCTTGAGTTTTAGTGAATGCTTCCTTTTCGGAGCATATTGTTTTCATAAAATTTTAATTTCAAGTTTTCACTCGAAACTTTGTCGACGTCTAGGTTCTAATTAGATTAATTTGCTTACAAAATTTCAGAATTTTTCACCATTTAATCTTTCTAAGATATGAGTTGTTCGAAATCTTCATATTTCACACAATATCAATAGAAATATGCCTGTGCTTGAGAAAACTCATATCTTAGAGAAATCAGATCACAAAATTCTGAAACTTTTGTACTCAAGCTAATCTTGCCGACAAAGTTTCAGATGAAAATTTGAAATCTCGATTAAAATGGAAGAAGAATACAAACTATCTGGAAGTTTTTATAGTCTAGTTATCACCTGATATTAGCACAAATATGCGTTCGAAAACTTTCAATCATATAAACATCTCCCGTAGAAAAGTATATTGTTCACCAATGACGGGAAAAAAAAGTAATATATCTTTATTGAATTCTGTTCATGATTTTCTTTTAAGAAAATATTTTGAAACCTACTCTACCATCAAGAAAACACACATAGCCTGATTAATGAAAGCACAGTGGAAATATTAAGTTTGTTTTTATATTACTATTTTTAACGCATCCTGTATACTACTATTCACTGAATGTGTTACTTCGCAGAATTAACAAGATAAAAAAGACAGTGGAAAACTAATGTAGCTTTCAAAAGATAGAATATGAGTGTGTAAGACATCCGCAACTTCATTTGAGAAATATGTTTTGAACTATGATGAAAATTTAGTGAAGATATGATATACATACAAATGATAGAAAATCTTTTATTTTCTTCATATATACTACAACTAGAAGATATGTAACAATTTTTCAGATCACATAATTTCTAGAGCTGGTATCATTGATACTAAATCAGTATTGTTCTGAAGAAAAGAGTGACTATTTTCGCACAATCTATGGTCTCTATTTCAGAAGAAATATTCAGTTATATTCACTGTTCAATCAAATTACGATAGTTTACCAAAATTAGATATTAACTAAAGCTTGGCATTTCTATATAATTTAATTATTCCTAACCATTCAATTTTTGTAATATTCTTCAGATGAAACACTCAACTTCGACGGTCATATTGTAAATGAAGCAGCAATTAATCTGTTGCATGTACTTTTTGAACAGATACGAAAATAAGGTTTGAAAATTAGTGACTTTGTTTTCTTTATGAATCCTCTGAATCAGTCAATGGATTCATTCTACTTTATCTCTATATACATTTCTTACAATGGCTAAGACTTTCAAAATCTAAATTTTGCAATAGAAAAAATTCCTTGTGAAGGTTAACATACGTTCTTTCGAATTCTTTTCTGAACCAATGGCCAGCGTTCGAAGTCGATGAAAGTGTTGCACAATCAAATGTATATCAGTTGAACATTGTTCACCAAAAATTTTTAATTCTTTAACTTTTCGTGTGTATTCTGAACCAGCCAACATGTAATTAGCTATTGTTGCTGGAATGATAATTGAAAATAGATCATACGGAATTGTATGAATTACTGCATATTTATTTGATTTATCTAACAAACATGTTATTCGAATATGAATTGGCCATGTAGACAGTAAAGTATCTACTTCACTATGTGATCTAGAGAAATAATACATAATAAATAAATGGATGTCAACAAGTGATGAAGGTAGAATTCGAATGAAATTTTCTCCATTAACAAACTGTGCATCTTCTGTACGTACATTTAATGCCAATCGTTGTAAAGATGGCATCTTACTCAGAATATAAGCAATTTCTTTTAATGACCAATATATGTTTATTGAACGTAATTGAAAATCTTTTAGATGAATAAGAGATGATACATTTGCTAATGTCGATTTTGAAACAGATGATAATTGATCAAAGTCAATATGTAAGCGCTTAATATGTGGTACAAGTATGAAAAGATATTCTAGTGTTTTATTTGTCTTTAAGTTTACTATCAACTCTTCAATGTTCGGATAAGAAATAGTTTCGTCATTTCTAGTTGCAGTTAGATTAAAATCGATTGAATCAGAATCGAATGATATATATTTCAGTCGATTATTGTTAGCAGCTAGAACTTTTTCCAGTGAATCTTCTGCATAATTATCTAGAAGATTTCGAATATCAAGTTTGACAAGTTTTAAAAGATCAGTGATATTGTCAAGAAATAAATTTAGTTGTCTATCGATGAAATTTACAAGTGATAATGTATATAATTGTGGAAATATTAAAGATAATTTCAAATGAAAGAATGTTGAATTTAATTTGTTGGACATAATATTTTCCCATTGTCCATTGAACACAAATGATCGTACTGATAGACCAATTTGAGGAATAATCTGTGTTGCAACAAAGTCAAACTGTTTATATGTAACATACTTGAGATTGACATAATGACAATAATCAGTTATTGCCGAATTTAGACGAGAATTTAGATTAAAAAATGAATAAAGAATTTCGGCACCACGAAGATATTGACATATGAATAATATCATTTCATCTGGTAACATTTCGAAAGTTGAAACTTCTTCCATTCGAAACTTGAATACAATCTGACTTAGACGAAAAAAAAACAAGTTGTGAGACACGCGTGTCGACAAAAAACACAAAATCCATCTATTCTTTTGCATGTATGTGATGTAGATGCAAGGAAGAGAAACGATTATGTTTGCATAGTCAGTATAGTGGTTATGAGTGCACAAACGTGGAGTGTAGGTGTGGACTCTGGTGGATGAAGAAGTAACACACATTCGCACCAATCAACAAGCAAAACTGCGTTGGATGATAAGCCGCACAGTATATTTTTTGGAAACACGCAATTTTTCTTTGAAAAATGTATGCAAGGGTCCCTCACATGTGTCTTTTTTATGAAAAATTTCTTTTTTCAAAAAAATTGCTTGTTTCTTTAACGGTCATTTTCTAAGTGAATATATAACCACTTGGGAGCAATAGAAACTCATTTTCAAGTACGATATTTAGATGTTCGCCTGCTATGCGAAACTTGCTTATTGTGCAGTGTGGCTACAATGTACTGTTGAGTTACAAGATCTTGTCCGAATCATATATTTTTTACTGAGAGTTGGAAATTCCTAGCTTTTTTAAAGAGCCTTGTATATTAAGTTAAAAAATTACATTTGACTTTTACGATGCGCATTAGTATAAGCTAAAAAATTAGTAAAATGAGTGTGGGGTGTGGGTGTGGAAACAGATGAAGACAAACCATTCACCTACACATTCATACCCACACCCATCGATCGACTGTAATCTGAAGTGCAACATTTGGAGTTTACCAATCGAGTACTCATTGTGAACATATATATTGTTCTGAATATCGACCTCTGAGTGTGGATGAAGAAAAGATTCTTATCCACATCTCAGATCAGTTGACTGAAACACGTTGCAATCATTCGAATTTCATATACAATAGTGATTTGCAGGACGTCGTGTAACTCGACTGCATCTTTTTTGCGCCTACGACTTCACATTAAGTGTAAGTGTACGAAACTGAATAGATCTTGTAATTTCGATGTCTGAACTACTATACTGATATAGTCAAATATATCTATACTATAATTTGATGAAATTAATCGAATAATTTGAAAATATACGAAATGATATTCTTGCTGAATATTTAATCCAAATATTGAATTTCGAAGTTCTGTATTGTTGAAATGAAATATTTTCAAATCAAATATGTGACAATAAGCAAGCATAATCATTTCTAGGACAACACCCGTCCATCAATATTGGAACATTTTATCTCAATATTCAACAAAAAAAGCTAACAATTTAAAAATAATTTTTGGAATACTTTCATAAGAATTCTTATCAATTCTCCTTGCGGATACACAAATGTTGAACGATAGCATGAAGGCCAATGTTCAATTAACTATCTTACAATGAAACTATAATAATTAGTTTTTTTTTCGATTTGTATCTTTTGGAAAAGAAAAACACAAGAAAACATGACGAGATGAACGATGATAAATTTTCAAACATGATTTGAAGAATCAAAATGCATTGTTAAATTGATTTTTGTAGTTACAGTCAACATACATGACTGTCTAGGTGAAAGGCATAAAAGAAAAGTTGTTATTAAATGAATAACGTATGTGACGAGAGGAAGACGTATACTTTTTCATTCAAGCGTATCTTTTGGTAGTCTTTCATCGTGCAAAGTTACACGTGCAATTCAAACGACAACAAGTTTAATAATCTATCTGCGTAATAAAGCATGGTTTTTTGTATTCCGCTTAGTCTACTATGAAAATTTTCTATTTTTAGTTTTAAAACAATGTCTTCTTTTTTTTTGATAGATATGTTGTGGTGTGGGTCCTGATGGTTGTTGTTTCTGTGGCATTCCTTGCAATTGTTGGAGAGGATCTGGTGCTTCAGATGGAGGGTGAATAATCAACTTCTTAATTTCTCTAAAAGAGTTTTTTTTTTTGTTGGCATTTTAGACCTATTCAAAGTCAACCAGCAGGATACTACTGATTGTAACAAATTGAACTGATTGTTTTTTTTTGCCTCATTTACATTGTATCTAACCACGTAACACATGTGATTTCGTTGTCTATGAAACAATCAACATAGACAAAGACACCACATTCAAAAGTGCATTATAACATATTCTACAATAAAAATCATTTACTTCAACTGGTTTCAACGCTTCAATCAAATCAAATCAACAATGAGATCAACTGAAAAGGTGCATTTCGAAAGATTTGTTATATAATGCACATTGAACATTGTAAAATATATTACTTCTCGAACAGTTTCAATCGTTATAAACCACCAAGTATTAGTATTTTCATCGTGTTGATGTGACGCATCGTGTGTTGTCGATTGGAAATAATTGAATATTGTCTTGTTGAAAGGATTAAATTTGATAATTAAGTCTCGTTATCGAGTAGAAATGTGCTCAATATTGAATGAACTTATCAAACACATTGACTAAATTGTCGAATGAACATGTTGTGAACAATCAAGTAAGAAAAAATTGCGAAATTCCTGTTATATACGCTTGCGTATTCAGTAAATCAAGGTTTTTTTCTGTAGAGACATGGCCATTGCGAGCAAAGCTCGTTTCATTTCGCTTCTTTTGAGGGATATTGACGTTTGTCTATGCAAGACAAAAAAAATAAATGCATTAGTCGACTCTTTTGTCTTTTAGATGCTCTGACAGCCTTCAGCAGATATTGTGATTCTAATTCATATGTTACACGAATACTTAGGTTTACATATGAACTGACTGTATAGTTCATAATATTTTTATTGACTTGTGTCAGTCGTTCGACAGATGTCGATGATATACTTTGACATGCATGTCGAAATAAATATTGTTGAAATAGTGACAGACGATTTAAATTTGTTTGTTCAAATAAATCACACAGAGATTCGAACCCATCTGTTGTTGGATAGCAAATCTTCCGAATATTTGTGCATGTCTAATTTGCCAATATAACTTTTACTAACGAACACCCAACACACAAATATCATTCATGCATAATTCAGTGAATTGAGCGTCGTATACTATTGACTGACTAAATGAGCTCGATGGAAAATAAAATCCATGACCATATTCTTTTCCTCATAATACAGACTTAATGAATGTAATGTATACATAATCATAGGTAATCTCATCATGTTTACCAATAAGTTGATGATCGAAATTATGTCGAATTAAATTTTCAGTCGTTTTATGAGAACAGCCATGAAAAAGTATAAACTCTGTTTGATTATGTCCATCTTGAGTATCAATCATTGTTTTCTGATCGAAATAGTCTAAACGTCAATTACGATTATTAGAGTTGAAATGGCTAGATCGTACACTAGTTTATGGTATTCGGTTGAATACTTTGATAAGTTTTTCAACAATTCATTGGATAATAAATTAAATTCTTCTTGTTTTAATGATAAGAGATAGAACACTTTACTACTGCATTGGTATCTAATTATGAATACACAATAGCTGCATCAAGTTTGAGTGTAGATACGATCTTTTCTTTGCCTTCACCCACCCACTCGTCGATGCCCACAAAATAGTCGTATTTTTCTCTTGATTGTCATACCGTGCAGCATCTTGCTGGCGTTCTTCGTACGAGAGAAATAACTGATTAATATCAAGGTATATGTTTAGAAGTTTTTTGGCTAATTATGTATTTGTATCAATGTCGACAATTAGGCTACTAAAATTTCATTTCTCTTCTATCAAACCAAAATGTTTTTGTCGATTCGTACTAGAAAATCGAATTCGAAAACGCAATGCGTGATCATCAAAAATTTGAGTTGAAGAGTAAACGCTTTCTTTTCACACAGAGATCTTCGGCAATCAAGAAACTTGTTTGACTTATTCTCTATGGAGAAAGAAAAGAGGCCGTCTGACTCTATCATAATAGCAACAGAGAAATCCTAAAAGATGGCAATCTAGCAGGCAGACAATGACATCTCTCTTTCTTTCTACGCCAATATGTTCACTACGTCTATGTCTCCTATGCGTCGACACAATCGCTATTTCTAAAGAACATACAATATCATGTTTTTTTTCTTTGTCCACAAATAATCATGTCGTAAACCAGACATTCTAAAGAAAATACGTAAATATACAATGCAGAAAGGATGATTTCTCGCAATGAAAAGGTATTGAAGTTGAAAATTTTATTGATAGTTGAGAACAATTAGAATTCATTTAAATATTAAACTATGCTCTTACATTAACCTTTTGTTTTCTTTTAGTTTGCTTTGATACTAAAAAATAATTTATTTTAAGTTCTATTTGGCAAGAGAGTTAATGAAAATATATGACAGTCGAAATCTTATTTCTGCTTGAGAGCATAGACTTCAATTTCGACAGTTTTGAAATAATGCGAACCAGTAAATGTGAGACGTCCTTTACCAGTTGAATCAATATAATCAGTAGGAAACATAATATTACTACGAGTATTTTGATTACTATTTGAATAAGTACAAATATCCCATAGACCAAAGGTCGGTCCCATGCTTGCTTTACAACCAATTGCATTTCGACCTTCAGCATTTATTTGATATTTAGTAGGCAAAAGTTTATGCGGATTAATTAGTGTGAATAGAAATGCGTCCGTATCCATCGACCATTTCCAATTTTCTTGACTTTCCCAATTGGCCGATGTATATCCACCAAATAAATGTCCGCTCGATGATTGAATTACTGTCAATGTTGCACCTTTTCTATCACAACAACGATAAAAATCGGTACTAGAAAATCCGTCTCGTGTGGCTTTATAAACGAGCCGCCACATTTGATTTCGTTTTCCGTAAAATTCGTTCAACTGAATTTGATGTTCTTGACATAAAAGTGTTCCATCGGAGAAATATTCTTTTCCGCGACGAATATCATGTTCAAGTGAACTTTGAACTTGTGAGTTCAATTTGATAGGTGGTATGGTCATTTTGATACGAGGTTTATGCCGATCAAGAGAAAGTTGAATTTGAGTGAGTTTCTCATTTAATTGTTTGATATCATGTTCGAAATAATTATTCTCGAATTTATATTTTCGTAATTCCATCGAAATTTGATCTAAATCAGCTTTGATAGTAGAAGTTCTCGATGTCATCAGTTCCTTTATACGGTTGCGTATACGATCGGCTGTTTGTGTGACACTTTTCAATGCTTGCTCCTCCCATTGGTTGATATCATGAAGAAGAGCTTTTAGTTGAGATTGCTTGATCTTCGATGAATGATCCACGATCTGATGAGGTAGATTACTTCTGTCATGGCATAATTGCGCGAATTTAGTATCTAAATATTGACGATGTTCGCGAAAATGCGTTGAACAGAAACTATTGTGACATCCATCACATTGAACAACGCTCGTCCTTTTACAATGCGAACATTTTGCTGACAATATTTCAGCCATGTAAGAAGTAAGAGTGTGTATGTCGCCTTTCACAACACAGCAAGACAAAAAGAGAAAATGAAAATTTAACGACAAGAAAGAGAACGTTGTTTTACTAGGTAGAAGTAACAGAGTGTTAAAATAAAAGCGAAACCCAGCAGGAGAAGTTTTCTTTTAGATTGTTGAGATGCTTCTTTTTTTATTCTCAAGCAAGAGACAGCCATTAAGAATAATTACATGTCATCTTTTATGCTTTACAGAAAAAAGAAAAGTAAAAAAACATAGCAACGTTGATTATGCTTAGAAGCTGAATCAACTACGAGCACAACATGCATACCAACTCTCACCAGTAACAGTACCGAATAAGAATCGATTGAATTCCATTAGAAAACAGTGCTTATAGTGTGGAATATCCATTCAATTGACGATCAAGTTTTCTTCAATAGTTATGAATATTATCAAAACATCAAGTTTATGAAGGTACACAAATCACATATCATTTAAAATGGTGGGTTGTGAAATAAAAAGTTATTAATGTCCGAATTCTTAAAATTCTGACGTCTTCAGGAATTCGCAATATCAAAATTAATAAAAAAAAAACACTGATCAATGACGGTGTGTGCGTGAGTGTGGAGTGTGGATGTGGAAGCGGATGTGTGTGTGTGAATATAAGACCCACATCCGTACTTTGAGTTGACAACAGATCTATTTTTGCTCTAAAATCGAAATCTTGGTGCGACAAAATCTAGATGGATGTGGATCGTCTTTCCGTCCAACCACTCACTAATCCGCCACACTCGAGAACACTTCAAGAAGAGTTTTTTATTTAAAAACCAGTAGTGCAAATGTCAAACAAGAAAAAAAAGTATAGAAGAAAATAGCGACGGAAATGTCAAAATGTTTAACTCGAATCAGTATAAAATTTATTTTACAGGTCATTACCTGATAGTTTCACTCGTTATCTTTAGAATAATAATACTAGAACTTAATACGACAAGTTTATTTATGGATCTTCCAGTTATCGTGGCCAAACCCAAACTTATGCTAGAGGATAACTTTGCGTATTCCGATGGTGGATTGGTCGTACAATTCGATAAGAAAATTGGAATAGTTGTCTGAGCCGAAACATCCTGTGATGTGGGAAAATGTTCGTGTTGCAAAGTATGCATAATTGCCAATAATATCATAGAACACACCATTGCATATATTGAAGCCAGCTGTTACATGAACAAAAGAAATTCTATGCATCGAATTGATTTCATTCAAATCTCTAATATGAATAATTTTATGCAACACATTCTAAGTATGAAAATTTCGCCGGAGAAAACTGTTCTGGTATGATAGGCAACATGATTTCTTGCGTCTCAAAAAGAGTGCCACTACTACTACGAATCACTTTCCTCTGACATGTCGTGACCTGTAGTGGGAACGACGACGTAGAAACTTTGTTTTGTTCTGATGTGCACGAGGAAATAATTCAATGAGGCCGAAGTTGCATTTTGTACAAAACTAGAGGTAGATGACACAGTAGTTTGGCTAGTGATGTTGCAAAGTATCGAGTACATTGCTGCTTCAGTTATTGCATAGGCTACTGGTGAATTGATGCTAACGTCGAGATTAATATTCACTGCAAAATCGATGCTTATTACACTAATAGCTTGTGGCAAATTATGACAAAATCGTGGTAATCCATTTGATTGAACTTGAATTCATATGGGAGAACTTTCAGTGTATGTTATGCACAGTTTATGATAAAATACAGATGTATCAGTTGAATAAATTTCAGGACATGTTGAGCTATTGAATCCTGAGGTACACGTCACCGCCACGCCAGTTGTAGCAATAATTGATGCAACGGGACTTCCACTACATGTTGTACTGAATTGCGCAGCCGAAGCATTGCAATTCGAAAGTGGATTGTTTGCTATACTATGAGCACATTATGCAGTGAACAAAAGCAGTAGAAAATCATGAGATCATCCGTTGTTCAATCTCTGAATCGAAAATCCAAACTGTTCTTCGGTAAAGAGAATACTTATATTTATATCATTTCATCAAAATGTAGAGAACGAAAAACATCTTGTCTTTAGGGTGAATATGGGCATGGATATCGTTGACATGAAGACCAAGTGTCAAACTCACACTCACACTCCTTCTAAATAGATGTAAGATGGTTGCAGTCTGCTGAATCTCGATGAATAGAGAACATTGCTAAGTTCTTCTGAACGTGATCGATCTGTATTCCATCTGCCTCTCTTATCTTCATAAATCAATGCTCAAAAATTGGAATTATTGTTTAGTTTATGTATCAACTAAGCTCAATTAGCTGTATAGATGTCCAGTTTTATTCATTTTGTATGCCATAGTTCCTGGCACATATCCATCCGATTTTAAGTCAGACTATTGTTCTTTTATCTTTCTAAACAAGATATCCGTCGAATTTGACTCTCACTATCATCATTGGTAGGAACCATTCAAGCATCTTGTGAATGTGAATTCCATTCGATGTTTTTGTATGAGAATAGAACAGTTCTGAATGTTGTGTTTTTTTTCTTCATCTAATAAAAAGCAATTCAAAGTGAAAATAAAACAAAGTAGTAATAATTCGTATCTTCTCCAGTCATAATTCAATTGTTTACAAACGATCATAGATAATTATCATCATGATGAAATTATTAGAAGCATCATAGAAAAGATTCATATTTTCATTGTGACAGTACTTTCTAGGATCCATTCAATTCCATACATTCAGATGGCAACAATATCCAATATAATTTCAGTATTTCCCTTCACTAGTTAATATGCAACATCATCCAGTATCTTCTTGACACTGTCAAAAGAATCATTGCCAACTGTTGAGCATAATACAATGCTTCACTATGTGAGAAAAAACCCTTCTTTCATCTCAATATCAATCTTCTGAGTATCTTACGCAGGAAGAACGATTTTCTAGTGAATAGATTCGTTTTCTTTTTCCTGATGAATAGGATTAATGATATCTCGTCTCCCCCTTTCTGGATGTGAAATTTATTTTTTTGATTTTGGGTTTTTCGATACTAAATATTCTTTGAAGTCTCCACTATTGATCTGCATAAAAGCGGGGTGTATTGATATGGATGTGTGAAGGATGCACATAGCAGCACCTGCACTTGCACCCTTTCGTAGCCTAGGATACAGTTAGTGTACGATTAAACAGTGTATGATAAATAGATAAAAAGAAATCTTGAAATTTGATGTGCTTAGACATGAAATTGCCAGCATTAACTCGCGAATATTCGATGAAATCTTGTTGTGCACACATATTCGGACGAAACTGAACTTTTTGTATAACGAACAGATTTTTTGGAAAAAATTTATAGCTCTCATGGTTGTTTAGCATAGGATGAAAACATTGTCCAGTACAGGCTCCATAGAATTGAGCAGGGTTCAACTGAAGAAAATAACGTCGGATCAGAATAGGAATAAAAAATTGCGTCTTTGTTGTTTATTCGAAAAACAGATCGATGTGTATTCCGTAGAAAATGTTCTTTAAAAGTCTTTCAATGCCAATTCTCTCATGTGATAAAAAGCATTTGGATAACGATGATGAAAAACAATTTTCGCTTTAAAATGATAGTAAATAAAACAAGAATGACTAAATCTCAATTGACTTATCCTCACGTCATCAAGACCACAGTACTCGTCAATCAATTTCCACTAAACATGAAAATGATCGAATAATAATAAGATATTGCTACTTGTTTCGAATTTGAATATGAATCATTCATCGACTCTATCTTGAAATTGAAATCAATGATTGATCAACACTCATTGTCTACGACACATATATAGCTTAGTGTATCCTTGCATAAAGTTCTACAGTGGATTGAATCGAGAGAGATATCATTGTATCATTTATTTGTGTCTCAGTTACTAAACATTAATCACCAATTCAATAAGTCAATTGAATGATATTTTATAATTTAATTGATGAAGTCTTTTGACCATGTTGCGTATCATACCTATGCAGAAGATCAAAACTTTTGTCAGGCTGAAATCAAATCAAATGGTCGAAGTCGAAAACTAACTTAGCTAATTTGAATTATCGAAGATCTCTCTCTTCTGTATCGAATGAATACTGAATGTAACAATATTTATTTTAAGTAAGAGATGATTGCGATTGAAACGAACAAGAAATAAATTTATTTATTTTTTCTTATCTTGAGTGAGAAAAAAAGACTATCGCTATCAGTTATCAAAAAAGTGCTCACGACTCATTAGATGAATTGGCTCACTAAAAATAGGGTCCGATCATTGGGAATAACACAGTATGGGGCTTTCGATTATCTCAGCCTAGTCTTAAGATGAGTAAGTGAACTTTTAGTGTTTTCAGCTTACAAAAAATTTATTTCTGATTAATCATAAAAGACAAGACAGCGCATTTCAATGCTTATTTGTTCGATATCTATTCGAGGTTCACGTTCATTGACAAAAGCTGTATGAGCCCCAAATTGGGGAGCATTGGGGTTGCTATCGAAGTTCTTGAAGACAAACATTTCGTTCGATCGCATCTCGCTCAGATAGTACCACATTTGAGCATCTTGGGCGTTGCGCGAGATCACATAGTTCGAGACGGAACCTTCGATTCCTCGAAGCTCTGACAAATGAATATCTTTGTCGATGTCTAACGA